ATTCCTTTGCAGCACTACATGAAGGAGCAGGGAGCCCTCTGCACCAAGCTGGTAAAGCCCAAACCAAAAACTGGGATGAAGTCTGCTGAGGAGGAGTTGGCCAAAGGTAGGGGATGGTGGGAGAGGGTCGTGGTCTGGGTTTTGGGGACAAGGTGACATGGCCCTGCCGGTGGCCTCTGCTAACCTGCCCTCACCTCTGTGCTCAGCTGGCTGGTTGCTGAACCTGCAGCACCTCACTCTGGGCGACCGCATCGGCCAAGGTGAATTCGGAGGTAGGTGAGAGTGGTGTTCTTCAACCTGGTTGTTGGCTGCCCCACGTGGCACCCTTTGGCCCCCCTCCCCATCCCATGGCACGGAGGGCTCAGCCTGGGGTGCAGGAGATCAGGTGTGGGGCTCAGCCTGACCCCCATCCCCTCCCAGATGTCCTGCAGGGCGAGTATATGGGGCAGAAGGTGGCTGTGAAGAACATCAAGTGTGACGTGACCGCCCAGGCCTTCCTCGCTGAAACAGCTGCCATGACGTGAGTGCCCGTGGGTATGACCCTGCCCCCGGCCTGGGGATGAGCAGGTCCCTTGACTCGGGTCCCCTCCCTTCCAGGAAGGTCCGGCACAAAAACCTGGTGTGCCTGCTGGGTGTGATTCTGCACAACGGCCTCTACATCGTCATGGAGTTCATGAGCAAGGTGAGAGCAATCGGAGGCTCCTCAGCCGGTGGGACCCATCGCCACTCAGATCTGGGGACAAAATCCCTGTCTAGGAGCTGAGTTGTGTTGGTGATGGGCACTGCAGCCCCCACGGGAGGCAAAGTCTCCCCCAGCCCCATCCTGTTGGTCCTTACATGTCTATCCTCTGTCAGGGCAACTTGGTGACCTTCTTGCGCACACGAGGCCGAGCGGTCGTCCCCATCCAGCAGCTCCTCCTGTTCGCTCTGTAAGTCCACCTCCCTCCCTCTGGGCTGGGAACTGCTCTGTGTGCCCCTGGGCAGCCCCAGGGGACACGTGGTGACACTGGTCTGTCCCTCTCGGCTGTGCCAGGGACGTGGCTCAGGGCATGGACTACCTGGAGTCCAAGAAGCTGGTGCACCGGGACCTGGCTGCACGCAACATCCTCATCTCCGAGGAGAACGTGGCCAAGGTCAGCGACTTCGGCTTGGCCCGGGTCAACCCCAAGGGCGCCGATGCCATGCTGCTGCCTGTGAAGTGGACAGCACCAGAGGCCCTGAAACACAACGTGAGCAGCAGTGGGAAGGAAGGGGGTCCACAGAGTCCTCCCAAAGCAGCTCACCCCCTTGGGTCCTCCCTGCCTGTTTCTCCACCCATCCCTGCCTCATGATGGCTTCTGGCACAGTCAGCTCTGCATCTTCCCCAATTCCAGCTCTGCCCTGAGCAGCCCTTGCCCTGGGGTGCAGCAGGGATTGGAGCAGCTCTTGTGGGATCTGACAGGATGATGGGAATGGGGGGGTCACACCCCAGGGAGCTGGGGGGGGGGCAGAGGGCAGGCACTGTCCCTTGTCTTGCCCTCAGGGAGTGATGGGGACCCAGCACAGCCCCTGGTTGGCTTCAGCCTCCCCCTCCTGCCACTGCAGAAATTCTCCTCCAAGTCAGACGTGTGGAGCTATGGAATCCTCCTGTGGGAAACCTTCTCCTTCGGACGGGCACCCTACCCCAAGCTGGTGAGTGCTGTGCCAGGGGACCACAGCTGGCACGGATGGGACAGGGAAATCCCCTGGCCAGGGCAGGGA